GCGCCTATGTGAGTTACAATAGATAAGTTTTTTACTTTTCCAAGAGGTCTTCTCTTTTTATTATTTATATTTAATATTAAGGTTGTTGATAGTTTTGTAATTTTTAGACCAATATATTTAAGAAAATGATTAGAGATAATACTTCTAGCAGAACTACTATCAAGAATAATATTGGTAATAACTCTATTGATATTGGCTTAACAAAATAATGCTGTAGTTCTAAATTTTCTATCATCAGCATATTGAGCAGTAACCATAGGTCAGAAGCAGATTTGATCTTTTTCTTTTGAAGACTTTTACTAAGTTCTCTTAAATATTTAGGATTTCAGCAGCAAGTTGGACAATAGAAATATTTGCTTTTATTTGTTATAAATCTTGAACAATTGAATATTTTTGTATATCTTTACCAATTGTTAGTTTATAGAATCTTGGACCTTGTAGAGGATTTCTTTTCTTTTTAGCTTTAGGTAATTTAGAACTTTCTGCTTGAGAATCATTTACTACAATATTTTAAACTTCTGGAGTTTCAATTTCTTCTACTACTTTTCTTCTTTTTTTAACATATGCTTCATTAATATTATTTTTATCTTCTTCTTTTAAATAGATTATAGAAGGGTTTGTATTGTTTTGAGAAGCATCAGGACCTTCTGTATTTATTGATGCTGATTCAAGTTTAAATGTTGTAAAAGAGCAGCTAATTGTTGTATAAGTTGATTAGGATTATTGTTATTATTGTTATTATTAAGATTATTTTGTAGTTGATTGTTATTATTTTAAACAAAATTTGGACGGTTGTTATTTCTGTGTTGATTATTTCTAGTTTGATTATTATTATTTGGTTGAGCATCATTTTGTTGGTTGTTATTATTTCTTGGGTTGGGGCAATCCCATACAATATGTTCAGATTAGAAATAATTAAAACAAACAGGTCCTCTTTGATTGTTATTGTTGTTATTATTTTGGTTGTTTCTTCTAGAACGGTTGTTGTTTTCTAATTTCTTTTCAATTTTCTTTTCAAGATTTTTTATATATTTAGTAAGAGCTTCTATTATAATTTCAACAGAATTAGAAGATGTAGGAGTTGGAGTAACAATATTATTATTAAGATTAGGAGTAATATATATTGCAACACTATAGCGAGTAAGTTTACAGGCTTTTGCTCTATTAACTCTCTATTCCAAGTATTTTTATCAAATAGATATACTGCCATTTGTAATTCTATTCTTAAACCAGTAGTAAATTTACAACTTTTTCTATTTCTGGGTAAATATTGGCATTTGTTTCTAATTGACGATATAATTTATATAAATATATAGCATATTGGTCTACAGTTTCAGATAGCCTTTATACACAGTGAGTTAGCTCAGTAGCCTAGATATCAATAAGAACAGGAGTACAAAATCAGCTAAGGAATCGAGATTTAAAACTATCAGCTTGATTTTGTATATCTCAGTATCCAAAGGCTTGTTGTTGGTTAGCATTATTATACCAGATTGCTATTTCATTTTTGAGATAAGTGAGGATAATTTGTAATTTTCTTGTATCAGTAAAGTTGTTAGCTATGCTATTTATTCAAATTCTTTAATCCAGATAACTAGATCTTGATTACTACCAGCAAAAGGTATAATTTCAATAAGTTTGATTTCTCTTTGTTCAAGACGATTAGTATTGTTTGTAATAGTATTTGTTTGATTTTGAATCTGATTATCTAGTACTTAGATAGCAGCGATTAAATTGTTAACATCTTGTGCTTGTAATGCTATATTATTATTTGGAGTAATAATGGTAAGGTAATAGGAAAGAAAGGTACAGAAGTTTGATATAATTGTTCTAAATCAAATTCAGATAAGTCAGAAGTTTCAGAGATTTTAGGCTCTACTTCACTATGATTATAAAGAATTAAAAAGAGATCTAAAGTAAATCGATTTGTTCGAAGATAAGCAGTATAGATTTGAGTAGATAAGGAGTCAAATACTAAAGGAGCTAAGCTTTGTTAATATCTAATAGTAAAGATAAGATTTTCAAAATGTTTGAAAGGTAAATTATCAATATCATATTCACTAATATCTTAAAAAACTAAGATAGTGTAATCAGAATATTGAATAACAGAAAATTTTGCAGAGAACCAAGTCCAAAAATTAACAAAAAAAATATCTATTTTTGTGTTTATAGAGTAACAAATAGAACAAGAATAATCAGGAAGGTGTCAAGTTAAATAATTAAAAGTATCTGGGTTTAATATATGTTCATTGTGACATCTATCATGCAAATTATTTCTTTGCTAAAATAGGTTAAGATTATTAGTCATTCAATAGTTAATTGAAGTTATAATATTCATGAGAGAAGTTAAAGTGTTGTTGATTAAATATGAAATAAAGGAAGATAAATATATTTGAATAAGAAGATAAGATAAAAAATAAAGTATATTTGTAAGTAAAATAAAAATAAATAAAGAAAATAATGGATAATAATAGGAAATAAGAAGATAGAAGTTAAGAAGATAGAAAAAAATATAAAAAAGATACAATAAAAGACAACTAAAACAGTAGAGAAAAATATTTCTTTTAAATATTATATTTTTACCAGAAGGTATCAAATGTTATTGCTTTATTTTTATGTCACTAGGCTCAAGATGGAGTCCAGCAGAAAGGAGCAATAACTAGCAGTTTAAATTTAAAGAACTAAAATAGAGAGTAATATTTAAAAGAGTAAGACTTTAATAATAGAAAACAAATAAAGTGAAGTATAACTTTATTAGATTCAAGGGAGTTCAAACTTAGTTCAAGCAGTTCAAACAATATAGCAAATACTATTAGACTCAGAGAATCCAAATTTTATACACTCTAAGAATAAAACAAGAAAACTCAAAGGAAATAACAATTTTCAAGAAGACAATAGTATTTTATTATTAGCAATCAACTTATACAAAGTTATATTAAGAAAGGGAAAAAGAGAGACTATTTATAATGTTTTGGAACTATGTAGAGATTAATTTAATATCTATCTATTATGTAATGCATATAGGATTACATGGTATATCACATGTTATATTTAATTTAAATTTAGTTATACTAATTAGTAAGTTCTAGAACATTTGTCAAAAATCATTAATTACTAAAAATTTTACTATAACAATTGATCTAGCTTATTAAGACAAAAATGTTTATTTACTCAAAATAGAGAGTTTACTAATTTATTAATATACAGTAACAGGTTTTTGTATTAGTTTTAAAGATATCAGCTTTCGAATATAAATATTCCCTATACTCACTTATTAATTGCTTAATAATATATATAATATAAATGAAAATAAAGATAATACTAATGATAATAATAATATATAATAAGAATATGA